GGGTTAATTAATGAAATTGGGCGATAATTCCCACAATGCTGTGGGTCTTTCCCTTTTTTATGTAATAACGTGATCACTGCCGATCGCATACTAAATGGCAGTCTCCCTCTTTGAAACGCATCTTGATATACCGACAGTAGTCTTGGAGCTAATTCACCCACGAACACCTTATAAAAATCTGATTGAAATCCATTGTTGCCTGGAGATTTGCCCAATCTAAGACTGCCAATTGCCTGCTTAACTTCAATTAGTGTAATCTTACCTGCTAATACAGTTCTTTGGTCTTCAGACAGGCTGGGAATTTTAATAGAAGAAAAGAAATCTGTCAGCCTCTGTTCCTCCACCAATCCATTAGAGGTGTAAAGCTACTGATAGAATTTAGTAAAAGCATCATTAATTTCTTTTTTACTGGTGGTCAATTTATTATTATTACTAGGAACAAAAATAGATGGTATAAGGTTGCTAGATTTTATCTGCTTAACCCTGTGTGCCAACATTTTACCTGTTCTGTCCCCTTGTTCAAAATGCTTTTGATTTAGACAAAACATTGCATATTCCGCTTTTTTCTCCAGTATACTATTCATCTCAAATTTAAATTTAATTAATTTGTTCCATAAATCCCTCTCTAGGTGCAGCAGCTCCTTGATATCCTGTTCCAGCTTCATCAGCTTGTCCCTTTCAGCTTTTTTAATCAAGGAGCAATAGTGGATAAGGCGCCTCCTCAAGTAGGCCTTAAAAGCATCTCAGGTCATTCCAACATCGTCAATAGAACCCTCATTGTCCAACCAAAACTCCTTTATCATTTCCCTTATACATTCACAGTGACCCTTATTCTTCAATAATGAGTTATTCAAATGCCACCTAGGTGACGGTTTAATATTATCATCACCAGAAAGAACAAGGTCAATGGGAGCATGATCCGATACAGCAATATTACCAATAGTTTGACTCACCAGAGAACGAGACACCAAGAAATAGTCTATCCTGGAGTAGGTTGAGTGAGGATGCGAAAAAAAAAGTATAGTCTTTTTCTTCAGGATGAAGAAGTCTCCATATATCTACCAGGCTCAGTTCCTCTGACATCACGTCCACCGCAACATTTACTGGGTACTTACTTAGTCCAGTATGGGAGGATTTATCCAACAGTGCATCCCTGACCCGGTTAAAATCTCCCCCAATTACAATATTTGTATTACCTATAGTCCGCACAATGGTACAGACTTCATGAAAAAATTGTGGCTGAGGAGAATTGTGAGCATATATGCTGACCAATGTCATTTTCCGCCCCTGTAAACATGCATCCAAAGCCACCCATCTACCCGTCTGATCTGTATAATGCTTAAAAACCTGAAAATCCAAGTTTCTTGTGATCAATATGACCACCCCTCTTTTTCTAGCAGAAAATGCACTAAAATAGACATGCACCACCCAATCTCTTTTAAGCTTTAACGATTCCGCCTCATCGAGATGGGTCTCTTGAATCAGGGCTATGTCTGTCTTTTTCTGCTTCAAGTATGTGAGGATTTTCTTCCTTTTAATAACATTATGACAACCCGCTATATTCCACGACACTATTTTACATAACTCCATAACACCACGCGAGCCAAGTTATTGTACAGATTTATCCAGAAGAAAATCCCATTTACCCATATAACAAATCTTAAAGCCAGTTACATGAGACAACCCAGTGGTCCAAAAAATAGGTCTGTACAGGACAGTTGGCACCATACCATCAAAACGAACAGCAAAACAAAACACAGTTGAGAAAAAAGAAAAAGAGAAAAAAAAAAGAAGAAAGAGAGAAAAAAAATCATGAAATCGTCGGTCCGTAGCACTCAAAAATCCCATAATGGCGTCCCTCCTCACGCCCCCCCCCCCCAAAAAAAAAGAATCTCAGCAGAAAGGTCGAAAGGTGTAAAGAAACCCCCAATCCAGGAATAAACCACAGAAGTAAACTGACCCTTAGCTTAGAAATCCTCTTAATCTACATCACCCGAAATGTTAGCGAAGGGAATAGCTAATATTGCGCTGTTGCAGCAAACGTCGCACCTCGTCAAACTTCCGCCGTTT